GATCCACGGAGCCAACTCCCAGATTGAGCCGACTTGATAAAGTCTCTCTCTGCCTCTGGTGAGGAGGGGGGTGAAAAATCCTCCACCTCAGACGTTCAGAGATGTAACTATCTGTGATACTGTGGTCACTCTCCATGTAGCATCAATTATGCTAATGCTAGCTGTCACGTTCTCTCGTCCTGGCCACACCTCCGCTCTCTAACCCCCCCTCCCCTACCAACTTTGATGCATTTTTCAAATTTCACCTTGGGGCGGAGTTATCTTTTCACGGGTGGGGGGTGTGGTAAGATACTCTGTAAAGCTGAGGCTGGACGGCTCTAAGATCCATGTGAAGCAGCACAGTTTGACCTGGCAGGAGGCAGAAATGAGATTAACTCTGGAGAAAGACTGAAATGCTTCACAGGAAGGAGGAAACTCTTATCTTGAATTATTATATAAAAAAAACAACTTTCTGCTCACTTTATTTTCCCCCAAACAAAGTTAAACTTTTTATCTTCTGACTCAGTAAAAAACAGACTATCGCTGGTTCTCCAGTATAAATCTAATGAATAACATGACAGGGTTCCCTCAGCTGTCACAGCTGAAGAACAACATGGATTTAATTATGACCGTTTAGTTTAAAAAACATTTATTCATTATCTCCACAGTATCCCTGATTTCACTCCACTACCCATAATTCACAGCAGAAGCAGTTTCCATATTTCCTCTTGGCTGTTGTTTATAATTACGAGGATACACCGTCTGTTTACCAAAGTTTTTTCATTGAAATTTGACGTAGATGTCCACATATCGGAGGTGTAGAGTACTGTAAGGATGTTTTAAAAAGTGGAGAGGACAATTCTTTATTAGGCTCAGCCGTCACTGCTCATGTCCTGATGTTAGCTAATAACTACTGTCATCAACTACCTCGTCTTTCCCCGAAGACACACACATGTAAAATCATAAATGTCAACAGTTCTGGAAGTAAATATTCATAAGCCCCTCAGAATTGTAATAATATTATAAAAGTATTGTGATTAGACGGTTTCTCCCCCTTATTCTAAACATAAAATTCACTGGGTGCTAGTTCATTAGTAACTGTAAGAGATAAACTGGAGGGTTTCATACAGCTGCAGTCATTTTAAATAAATGATAAACAAAAATAAATAAACTGCCTTTAATAACTCTGTTAGCATATTTTATTTAAACAAACCGGACACTTTTACAGCCGCTGGGCGCTGCTCAGCTCATCTTTTAATCCTGCCGTGACGTAAACAACATATTTTAGCACGTGGCTGAGAAGAGGATTGTTTATTTTTCTGAGCTTACTCAGTCCTGACAACGTCTTGTTCCAAACAAAATGTTTCTAAAGTGTTTCACAGTTTTCTTCAGTTGTTGTGGCAGCCGACAAATACACAAGTTGAACCTGAACTTGTGATTGAACTGCTCAAGCTGCCAGTTAAAGCAAAAACAAACTGGATTTGTTCTTATCATAACTATCTGAATAAATGAATTTCTTGTACACCAGAAAAACCGAACAGTCAGGAGGGCTGTGGGCGGGGCTTGTGACTGTCATGGCAGCCTACATGCTCATTTCCAGAAACTTGTGGATATTCACATTAATTTCACCATCATTCATGTAGAGGAAACCCTGATGACATGGATATAAAGACAACACTAAAACTCTCAACAGTTTTATTGTTATCCATTTATAACTGTTTTTATATATCAGTTATCATAAATCTACTAATTAATTGAACTTTGATTTGGTTTCTGTAAATTCTTTCAGGATGCAAACTTTTAGAGCCACGAAATACTTCTAGTTGTGTTTGTAATTCTTCTGATGTGTTGGTTTGTGTGCAGCTGAGTGAAGGCATGCCCCTGAGGTCCGGAGAGAAGCTCAGATACAGAACCAATGGTGAGTGGGTCCAACACGCTGTCACTGTACCTCCCAGTTCAAATGAATGTCCACTGTCAGCTTTACTGAAGTTAGATTAAAGCTGTAGGTGTTTTTACACAACAGGAACTTCCTCATAGTGGAACCATTTAGTTCACTTTATTTACTGTGCACTGCACCAGTCCTGTAATTGTACAGTTTTTATAACTGCTTGGATTGGGTTTTTTAGCTTCCAAGTTGGAGCTTTTACATCTTAATATGAACCAGTGAGTTGTATAAGTGTGTTCTGCTTTGTTTGCTCTTTGGTTTCAACTTTTTCTACAAGAATAATCACAAACAAATCAGATCAGACGTTTTTGACTGATGTTCAACTCTGTTGGCAGTACATTTGGTAACGCTTCCTTTTATGGTAACCTTACTACCATGTTTATTACAAGTAGGGGTGTAAGAAAATATCGATACACTGAAATATCGCGATATTTCATTTCCCGATACTTTATCGATATTCTAAAGCCCTGTATCGATTTTTTTATTGAGGTTTAAAACGTCGACTTTCCTGCGAGCCGTTCATTTTTATGTTGTAGTTCAGCCTCTGACCACTAGTTGGCAGCAGTGAGCCAGCCATTTGGCTATTAAGTGTTTGGTGGCCATATTGTAAATTAATATTAAAAACTAAAAGCAGCAAAA